ATATATATATATATATATATATATATATATGTATAAAGGTGAACATAGAAGTCAACATTAGAGGCGACAGTCTGTTTCATGCTATATGCAATCGTCAGGCCACCGATTGCATATAACATGAAACAGACTGTCGCCTCTAAGTGTTGACTTCTATGTTCACTTTTATATTTACACGCTCTATCTCTGATATTGAGCACTTTATCCCATAAATATAGCATACCTTAAATGTGTGTGTATATATATATATATATATATATATATAGGCACATTTCATTGAATACGACAGATCTTATAGTTACAAATAATAATTCACCTCTTAGAACAAAATTAAATAGGGCAAATATTATTTACGAAGTTAAATTCCCCTTAAGGAATTGTATTCCTGATCAATCAAAATTCGTAAATAATTATATAGGCCACACTACAATATGTTTGACATGTAGACTCACTGTACATCTTTCTGATCATAGCTCAATTAGATCTTATTTAAATATTCATGTAGCCCTACCAGACACTATTCGAAACATACTTGTTGACAACACTAATATAATAGCATCATCTACATGCAAAAAAAAGGCTAAAAATAATGGAAGCCTTATTAATAATAATAAAAAAAAACAATAATGTCAATTATAAAATTGGTCACAAGATTTAACTGTGTTTTGAAAAATGAAAACATTTTATAAAACATACATGCGACAAACTATTTCTTATTTAACAGTTAGAATATTTAATCCTTGAAAATGGCTAAATGTATAGCCGAAAGCGTTCTGATAAAAAAAAACATTCGGACAGTTTTTATATAATTTATCATCTGAAAAGAAAAAAATTATTAGATCGCATGAGAAATTATATAAAAAAACTAAATAAAAGCACTTTGTCGTATGTAATGAAATGTTCATGAAAGAAGTATTGCTGCCTAAACACACACACACACACACACACACACACACACACACACATATATATATATATATATATATATATATATATATATATATATATATTAGTGAACATACATAATATTACACGTCGATAGCACGACTCGAGTTTCATTCAAACATGCAAAGTTCAGGTGAAAAAAATTGTGCACCTGAAGATTGCAAGTTTGCATAAAAAAATTCGATTCGTGCTATTAACGTGAGATATATATATATTCATTAATATTTACTTAATAACTCTGTTATAAAACAATGAGCAATGTTTTGTAACACATGAGAAATTATATATGTACGTCCAAGTATATATACGTATAAGTATGTTTTTTATCATACATACATATATATATATATATATATATATATATATATATATATATTAATAACTATACATATTACCTACGTATGTGTAGTTGCTCATATCTTTTTATTTAATTCATATTTATACATATATATTTGTTTGTGTTTCTATCCATCTATCTATCTATATATATATATATATATGTGTGTGTGTGTGTGTGTGTGTGTGTGTGTGTGTGTGTGTGTGTGTGTGTTAATAACTATACATATTACCTACGTATGTGCAGTTGCTCATATCTCTTTATTTAATTCATATTTATACATATATATTTGTTTGTGTTTGTATCTATATATCTCTCTACCTCTCTCTCTCTCTCTCTCTCTATATATATATATATATATATATATATATATATATATGCATATGCATGTTTCATTAAATCATATAGAAAAATTTTGTCTTTTATGCAAATTCCTTTCATATCGTCTGATAAACTTAATAACATTATCATTGAAAGACGAAAGAAAATCACCATATTGATACATGATTTTTAATCCTATCTAACCTTTCGGCTTACATGAGCCATTATCAAAGATGACAATAACATTACAATACATTAAGCAATACACAGACATAGCAATAATGATAGTATGCTTTTGTTTGCGTGGAAGATTTCCAAGCAACGACAAACACGTGTATACGAGACGCTGGAAGCGAAAATCGCACCGCGGTTCATGACCACACATGATCACGCGAAAACGAGAAATGTTAAGTATATATATATATATATATGTACTGGGATTAAATATGGATTAAAATCTGACTGAATGTTTGCATAAAGAAAAAATAGGAAAAGTTTATAGTTTTTTTCGGTTTTATTTAAGCTTCACCAGAACATGAAATATGTAGGAGAAAAATTGGTATTTCTTATTTTTGTGTTGTTTTTTCTTTTTCATTGGTTACGTTAACTCTACGTGTACTTGTCTTGCTTAAGTAGCTTTTTTGCGTGTTGTGTGTTTTTGTATCATACTTCTAGGTGGTCTATGCAGGATTTGGTTGGTAGTGCATGTGAGTTTCTGTGTGCTTGTACGTGTAATGAACATTTTTTAAGCCTGGGAATATCCGTATGTTGATCGGGGGAGTGTGAATGAGATGAAAAAAATTAGGTTAAACCGATTGTGGTTGTGGGTAGACAGATCTCAGTATGGTTGTTGTTATATCACAAACTTTTATAAAATCCATACGTAAAGATTCTAAGAATTGTATATCTACTCTGTCAACTGCCTTCGATATATTTAAAGCAAAACTTCGAGCTTCTTCTCTAAGGCTTGACTGAATCTTTAACCAAAAACCCTCAGCACATCGGTGGTTGAATCAACGAAGCGAAAGCCATATCGTTTGTCTGAAAGAAGACCTCTCGAGGTGAGAGGCCCAATCAGTTTAGAGTTAATTAAAACATCTAGGAATTTACCAAATAGACGTAGATGATTGTCAGAGCGATAGTTTTAAGGATTCAAATAATTGTTCTTTTTTAATTCGAGAAAGCTTACAAGGAACAGGGGCCAAGTCAGGAAGACATTTCTTAAAGAAAATTACATGGATAGCATTGAGTACACATAACACGTCGAGATCAAGTGGGGAGATGAAAGCATAGAAGGGGTTATATGCCTATCACATAGTAGAGATTCGGTCCGAAGGGAAAATCAGGCAAAATTACTCCTCAGGAGACGAGACTAGAATTGAAAGAGAATTTGTGGGCAAAGTTTTATATGTTTATTTATTTATTTATTTATTTATTTTTATATTATTTAATTATTTTGCTTCAAGGCAATAGTAGCCATATATATATATATATATATATATATATATATATATATATATATATATATATATATATATATATTTTATGAGTTTTGTGTGTGTGTGTGCGTGTGTGTATGGAGTATTGCACCCTGAAGATGACAATTTGAAATTGTCGAAAGTAATTGGCATGTGTCTTCCATCTGACAGCAAACCTGAATATAAGGATCTTATTATTCAAGTAATTGATAGTAAATTAATGGCTTATTAAGTCTTACTAGCGAAGTGATTTCACCATTAATCACATTGACATTGCCATTTAATTGTTTGTATGAATTGTTTCTATATATATATATATATATATATATATATATATATATATATATATATATATATTAATTTTATTTAATAATAAAGGAAATGGAAAAATTATGTAACTGTAGAAATCCTCAAAACTGTCCTCTTAAAAATAAATGTCGCACTGACTCATTAGTGTATCAATTCAATATTTCATCTATTGAGGATCCAGACAAAGTAAAATTCTACATTGGATGCACAAGACATGACTTCAACTTTTAAAATAAGTAAATGCCTAAATCAGACGTCCCTATCTAAATATTCCTGGTACTTAAAGGAAACATATAAAACACCTGCTGTAAAATTGAAATTAATAAGAAAAGCTAGATTCGTAGGTAATTAAATGACCCATGTTCTTTTTACGTGCATGAGAAATTATACATTATTAACTTTGTGAAAAATATAAAAACTTACTTAATCAAAGAAATAAAATAACTATTTTTTGCAGACACTGTCAAAGATTTTCCTTAAATAATGATTAAATAAAAAAAAGAAAAAAGATGAAAACTGAAGCGTACATATTTATACTTGATCTTTGAATAATAATTTTTAAATAAGAAAGTAATTCTAATATATTTATTTGTTTTAATAAAAGACGTATAGTCGATTGGTAATGAGAATTAGGAAAAGTAATTTAAAATTGTATTTTGAATATTAAAAATACGACGTAGTCATATTCAAACGACTCTTTTGAAAAAAATTTTTGTGTATACAATTTTAAATTTAAAGGCAAAATAAAAATAAAAATGCCAAAAAAAAACAGACAACATGAGAAAAACTGATATCATCATTTGCTGAACAGGCACCCTTACCCTACCTTAACCTCACTTTGAAAGTAACTCATATTTTGATACACATTTATTCTGTGAAAATGAATAACCTACCACACCTTATCAAAATGATTGAATTTCTCGTAACCTTAGCAACTAATATCAATAATGTATGTGTTTATAAACTCAGTCAATTTCAAATTAAGTTATTCCAAAAATCGCTTGAAAATGAAAGAGTCCTAGGGATTTTAATTTAATTCTATAATTAAACTTAATTTTATAATTAAACCTAAAGTGTTAGTTTCTGTTTTTGAAACATGGTAATTCCTGTGTAGCGATGGGACCATATTTTTAAGTTAGTAAATTCATAATGTTTATATTCTGCAGAATTGTATTGAGCACTGTTTTTTTTTAAATAAAAAAATTAATAAGAACACCAGATTATAAATCTTACTGTTCTTTCTCATCATTTTATATATATATATATATATATATATATATATATATATATATATATATGAAGAAATATAGTTTTAAGGTGTGCTATATTTATGGCATAAAGTGCTCATTATCAGAGATAGAGCGTGTGTAAATATGAATATAAAAGTGAACATTGAAGTCCACATTCAGAGGCGACAAGCTGTTTCATGCTAGAAGCAGTCGTCAGGCCCATTGCGTCTAGCATGAATCAGCCTGTCGCCTCTGAATGTTGACTTCAATGTTCACTTTTATATATATATATATTTCGTTTCTTCTGTGCTTTTCGCTTTAGTTCACTCTGTTTTTAGAATTGACACCAGTTTTTTTTCCATTTCCCTGTTTTGATTTGATCACGTTGAAACGCCTGTTCCCGTACGATCAGCAAAGTTAAGCAGTGACGAGCCTGTTCAGTACTTAGATGGGTGACAGCTTGGTAATACCAAATGCTGTAAGCTTGGATGGGGCGGGTGTTAATCGCAGAGTCGAGTTCAAATTCCAGTTGGGTTCATTATATTCACTTATGCACAAATACTCTTGGGAAAAGACCTGAATCCACCTCGTCTACCCCCTGCTATGGGATAATCAGTTAGACATGTATTACTAAAACATTGTTACCAAAAAAAAAATAAAAAACATCTTTCGATCTAAAAAATATTTTATTTTTGAATAATCTTTAAAAATATTGATAAAACGTTAAAAAAACGAATCAACCAAAAATCAAAAGCCAATGTACACACCTTTCTCTTTTTTACTGTAGTAGATACGGCTTTTTTTTCTCTCTTTTTCTCTTTTGCATTAATTGACACTACACTCTTTCTCTCTCTCTCCTTCTCTCTCCTTCTCTCTCTTTCTCTCTCTCTGCTTCACTTTTTCTAATAAAACACGACTCTCCCTCTCACTGTTTCACTCTTTCTTTAATAAACACTAATCACTCTCTTTTTCACTCTTTCTCTTTCTCTAATAAACACTACTTCCTATCACACTTTCACTTTAGCAGTATTAATCACATCGCTTTTTTTCTGTCTCTCAAACTCTTACTAAGCACTTTCTTACTTTTCTGATCTGTTAGATCTCTCTCTCTCTCTCTCTATATATATATATATATATATATTATATCCCCCTCTATTTCCCCTATATTTCTCTCTCTCTCTCTCTCTCTCTCTCTCTCTCTCTCTCTCTCTCTCTCTCTTTGTCTACGTTAATCTTGTTATGAAAACACTCTTTCAGACCATTATTAAATTGCATCGCATTGGCAAAGATAGAAATTCAATCCCACATAAAAACAGATTTAGATATAAACAAGAACTTTGATAACAACTATAGTCATAAACAGTCTTTACAGCAAGACTAGTTGAAGACATTCGCTACGCAGGGTATCATAACACCAAATCCCTTATTTGTTCTTTTACAACATCGAATAAATTTCCCGGTAGACAGGACTTAGAAACCTCAAAAGGAATTTATAAATTATTCCCTCTTATTTACTCCAAAATAAATGTCAATTGTAAAGCTGAAGTATATTTTAGGTAGTTACTAACGTTAGCTTTGTTGGGCGCAAAAAATGAAACTTAGGAAGATTGTATTGCGTCAGTATTCCAAGGATAGGGTTGGCTTGTTTATCCTAAAAATCGTATTAAGAATCTTTCTATGCAACAGTCAGTAAATGCAGAAAATTATACCAGTAGGATTAAAAAGTAAACATGACAGGGTAGGAATGTTTAAGCAATGAGAATTATGCAAACCAATGGAATTTCATCGTGCCAAGGCCACAGTTGATTAATTAATATATCCTAAAAAACATAAAAAATAAACAGGACTTTAGAATTATAACGGCTAATCTGATCCAAAGCAAGAGAACAGGGTGAGCTTAAAAATCTCGGTACTACGACGAAGTGTTTACAAAACAATTTGATGTGATATGGTCAGATTTTTCAGCTATCAGAAGCAGAGAAAATAAGATCTTTCAGATCGGGAATGTTGCCCCACCAGCAGACCATAGCGTAAAATTAAAAATAAAATGCTTAGAAAACATATTAACCTTGTGAATTAACTATAACAATTGGTATATGAAAGTGGGCGTTGTACCTATCATTATTAGCACACTTGGAACAGTCTCGAACTATCTCTCAAAGAGATTGGGAAAACTGGAAATCCTAGAGAGAACCAGAATCATGTACAGAGCATGGCAAACATAAATAGAAAACCCAGTTTTCACTTCCCGAATTCATGAGACACCAACGACTTACAGTAACAAATCTCTATTGCTTCTTTTCACGAGTCTGGTCAGTAACTATATGGGAGACTGCTTGGGAATACAAAGGCCTCTATGCTTCGATGTGTCGGTGATGTAATAGATTTTCCATTACAGGACCCACACATTGAAGCTGTTAATCGGAGAGACGCGTTCCAATTTCCGTTGGGTTAGTTATACTCATTTACTTTCATTTTTTCTTTTTCAAGCAAGTCGGGAGTACCACTAGCACGCAAGGGGTTACTGAAAGTGAAAGTAAGAGTAAAGCGGGGTGTCTGAGGAAACGATAAAGAGAAGGACGGGGATCAAGAACAAGGCATCAGAAGATGACGATTGACATTACATTTAATTTTTTAAAGATTATAGTCATCAGTGAAGCACGTAAGAGGAAGGGAGTTTCACTGTCGGGAAGTGCGAGAGAAGCTGTTGAAATAGAAGAGGTGGTGACATTTAGCTGTTTCGACAATAAAATGGTGGGACCGTGAGGTCAACCTAGTAGCACGCTTAAATTCATGCAGTTGGGTTACCAGTGAATATATCTCGTCAGAGTAGATGCCGTTCTCTTGGGAAAAATATGGATCCACCTATTCTCCCCCAGCTATGGGTTAATTAGTAAAACCTGTATCACTAAAGATTATTATTATCTACAAAATTGGCTTTAAATAACATGCAAAATTTTATAACCCGTAGAAAACTGCTTCTTTTCAGATGTGATGGTCTTAAACTAGAGCAAGAGAGTTTGTAATTTTGTCAATTTTTTTTTTTTAGGGGCAGAATTACAGAGTCAGAAGAAGGAGTCAGCGCAAAACTGACAAAAACCTTAATATTCGTCTTGCTATAGTAATTAAGGACATCACTCTCTTTAAATATGAGCATTGATCAACATGTTTTGCGTGACATGGACCGTCAGACACGTGTCTCTGAGTTGTTCAACGGGCTGGGGTGAGCAACTTAAGAGAGAAAGCTTCCGACATGGAAGCGGTTATGGATGCAAGTCACAGAACAATTGTATGGTATCACCTGGCATTGCCTATTTAGGGTGCAAAAACTTAATAGCCGACAGTCTTTGCACACTCCACTCGACATTAAGAAAAGAAGGGAATGGATGAATAAAATCTTCAAGAATAGTCTTGGCTTTTGACAAATGTAATTTCAAACGAACCATCATTTAACATGTTCTGTGTCAGTAGATGAATCTGAGAAGTCCTAGTCAGGATGTTTTCCAAGAACAGCATACTATCACCTGTCAAACACGGTCAGGGGAGCGGTTTGGAGCACTGGTCACTCGGTCTTGGTAGATTACACTGGCGACATTAATGGTGTAAAATATATTTCGGTCCTTCAAGGAGGACATATCACCATCTTTTCGAATCATCAGATAGCCAAGGACAACATCTATTTAATGCAAGACGAAACTTTATCGCATTCTTAAAAAATGGCCCGAGAATGGGGTTCGAATTCTACCATAGTCAAATCAGTTACCAGACATGAAACGAACTGACATGTTAGGGTTTTATTAGACAGATCAACGCATAAGAAACGAGAGAAAGCTTCTTGATGAATTGCTTCAACTTCTCTATTCAACTTCAAAGCTTGTCACTTCTATGCCTGACAAAGTGAAGGCGCTGAATGACTCTAAGAGAGCGTTGACAAACTCTGAAGGCGGGGTCATTCATTAAATAAACAATGTTCTCACTAAGTTAGTTTGCTGATTATCTTTGATTTCCAAATTTAGTGGGTACTGTTTACATTTGACATCTCGTTGTAGATGGGAAACATTACTAAAAATCAACAAGAATGCCGTGAATAGAGAAGAGATTGATTGTTACTTCATATACATTGAAAACCATCCACTGCTATGAATATTCTGTGGGCAAATAGTACTATTAGTACTACTACTACTACTACTACTACTATCAATAATAATAATATATTCCTAATTCTTCGCCAGTCTTATTTTAATTGGCTGGAGGTATTAACATATAGATGTTATTTCGTTCTGAATTAATATGAGCCTCGGTAAATATCCTATTCATTAACAGAGATTTGCTTGTCATTCGTTTGACCTTAAACAGTTCACCAACTGTGTATCTCTGTTCATGAGCGAGAGTAGGCGGATCTCAGGAGGCTTGCTTTTTTTTTTCTTCAGTTTGATTAATGAGCCAGCATGCAGTGGCATACGAGCCACATCAAAATAATTGAACACACGCACAAAGACATTCTTGCGGCTTACGATTATGTCACGTTGAAATATTGGATCTCGTACAAACAATGAAGTTAAGCAACTTCGAGCCTGGTCAGGACCTGAATGAACCACCGGTCGGTAATACCAAGTGATGTAAGCTGGAATGCGCGGATGATAAAGTGGATAATGGCTCAGGGTTTGAAATCGGAGAGCCGAGTTCCAATTCCAGTCGGGTTTTTTATGTTTACTAATGCGCTAATCCCCTTGAGAAAAATATTAATCCACCTCTTCTCACCGCAGCTATGAGCTAATTAGTAGGACTTGGTTTTGTAAGTAATTATCATTACCAAAAAATTTGAGAATTTAAAAATATTTGCTGTCTCCATATATGACCTGGCATCTCGGCTTCATTTACTGTTCCACCGCCGTAATGTAGCTACCCTGTGTCTTTTCTATAAATATTTCCATGGTAATTTCGATGAACAATTCCTCTTTTAAATCTAGACTTTATGAATTTAAGTGCTGTACTAAATTAACGACAAGGTTTCATAATTTTGCAGTTGAAATAGCTAGGTGCAACCTTAAGTCCTATGGTAACCCTCTAAGTCACTTCTCCGTATTGGAACACGCATCCGGGTCCTTACGATATTCAAAAATGTTAATGCAATATCAATCATTATCTGCTTTCTTAAATCTCGTTCTTTTAGTGATCTCTCATCGTAATGTTCTCTTTTTTTTTCTTTTTTTTCATATTTTTTCATTCTTGCGTCTTAGTTGCTTTATTGCCTTTCTTGGGGTGAAATGATTAAAAAAGAAAAAGTGAGGTATCTACGTTGCGGAGGTAGGAAAGTGATTCATAACGGTGAAGCCTTTTCAAGCATCGCTAACTCATAACATGTTGATATACTGTTTTCCTACGCTTAGACTTCTCTTCCTATGGGCTGTGTACCTGTAGGACGTTAATGATCATGGCTCTCCCCAATTTCCTCTATTTTGTAGCTCTTAATAAAATCCGTC